TATTTTATCATGATTCCATTAGCTACTTTCATTTAATTATTTTTATTATTGGATTTTAACATTGTTATGATGATGATTTATTACTGGCTTGCCTAACGGCAACGTTTGGCATCATCACGACCTATGGTAGGAATTAGGTTGTGATATGTCTGCACACGGAACACCACAATAAAATGGTGTAGATGAAAGAAGAAATAGGACTCTTATGAAAATGTTTAGATTAATGATGAGTTATTCTAGTTTGTCTTCATCCTTTTGGGAATATGCCTTAGAAACAACAAACTAGATTCTGAATTTAGTTCCTTCAAAGTCAGTAACTCTGAGTAATTTTAGTTTGCAGCATATTCGGATTTGGGGTTGTCCATTACTTGTGCTAAAAGGTAAAACAGATAAATTGGAGGCGGGAATGGATGTGTGTTTTTGTTGGTTATCCAAGTGGAACGTAAGGTGGTTTATTCTATTGTCCTAAAGAAAAGAAGGTAATCATTAGCACAAGTGTCGAGTTTCTTGAAGACGACTATTTGATAAACCATGTTCCTCGAAGTAAACTTGTTTTACAGGAACTAAGCAAATGAAATGAAAATCAGTCATCTAAAAAACAAAACGACCAAGTACAAACCCCGGAAGTCGAAGTTGACATACCATTGCTTTTATGTAGGGGGAGAAATATCAATAGACTTGATGTCCTACAAGGACAAGTGCCACTAGTTTTACTACCACAAAGTAGTGGGAGTAATGTTAAGCAAACTGCATAACAGGACGAAGTCGTTGATATCTCTGTGGATAGCAGGGAGACTCAGGTTCTTCAAAATGATGCGGTTCAACCACAAGATCATAATAGTGTAGTTGCAACTGATGTAGTGCGTAGTTGTAATGGAAGAGAAATAAGACAGCCAATTCGTTATATGCTCTTGGGAGAATCATATGATAGTATCCCTTAGGAGCCTAATATCGAACCTATCAATTCGACCAAAAACTACAAGATAAAGATGGTGATAATTGAGTTGCTGCTATGAAATCATAGATGGGGTCAATGTATTCTAATCAAGTCTAGGTTCTTGTAGAACCAACTGATAGGGTTAAACCCATTGCATATAATTAGATGTATAAGAAAACAAGAGGTGTAGATAGAAAAGTGCAAACTTTTAAAGCAAGGCTTATAGCAAAAGGGTCACTCAGAAAGAAAGGGTCGACAATGAGTAAACTTTTTTGTCCATAACCATGCTTAAGTCTGTTTAGGATTCTCTTATCCATTGTTGCTCATTATGATTATGAGATTTGTCAAATAGATGTCGAGACAACTTTCCTTAATGGAATTCTTGACGAGTACATCTACATGATGCACCAGGTGTTTTCGTGGGAAGTGGCAAGGAACACATGATGTGTAAGCTAAAAAGATCTATTTATAGACTGAAATAGGCATCTGTAGCATAGAACACTTATTTTGACAAGGCGGTTTAAACTTTTTATTTTCATCAATGTCTTAACGAGTCTTGTGTATACAAGAAGTGGGATGGGGATAAAGTGGTATTTTTAATTTTATATGTAGATGACATATTGCTCATAGGAAATAATGTGGGCATGTTGGGTTCAGTTAAGGAATGGTTGTCAACGCACATTGATATAAAAGATTTGGGAGAAGCGGCTGATATTCTTGGGATCAAGCTCATGCGAGATCACAAGAAAAGGATATTAGGCTTATCTCAGGCTCTTTATATTGATACAATAATCTCCAGGTTTAGCATGCAAGATTCCAATAAAGGATTTCTCCTTTTCAAGAGTGGAATTTCTCTATCTAAAGATCAGTCTCCTAAAATTGGTGAAGAGATAGAAAAGATAAAGATTATCCCTTATGCATCTGATGTAGGGAGTTTGATGTATGTCATGTTATGCATTACACTTATCATCTGCTTTGTCGTAGCTATTGTTAGCAGATTTCAATATAATCCTGGGCAATAGCATTGGATTGCAATTAAGCATATAATCAAGTACCTGGAAAGGACTAGGGATTATATGTTAGTCTACCATCCAGATGACCTTGTACCCAATTGGGTACACTTTCAGATTTTCAGTCAGATAGAGATTCTAGAAAGTCTACATCAGGAAATGTATTTACTCTGGGAGGTGGAGCCATATATTAGATAAGTATCAAGCAATCATATGTTGCTAATTTTATCACGGAAGCCAACTATGTGGCAGCCTTTGAGGCGGCCAAGGATTCAGTTTGGCTCTAACTTCCTAGGAGAGTTGGGAGTAGTTCCCTCGATTCAAGCACCAATTACACTTTACTGTGATAATAGTGGTGCGGTTGCATATTCGAAGGAGCCACGGAGCCATAAAAGTGAAAAGTACATTGAACGTAAATATTATTTAATTCATGACATAGTGCAGAGAGGGGATGCAGTAGTCACCAAGATTGCATCAGAGAACAACTTGGTAGACCCTATTACTAAGAGCTTGCCAAAGAAGACTTTTGATAGGCATGTAGATGGAACAAGTATTAAGACTGTAGATGCATGATATAGTGCTATAATTCCATATATTTTAACATTATGCACCCTATTTTCTTGTTGTTTGGATGCTAATTTGTGCAAAAATTGAGCTTAATAGAGTTTATTTTACGTGTAGGAATGCTTGGGAATGAAGTGGAGAAATATTGCACGAAATGGTACCTCGAAGCTACAAAATGGAGCAATAAAAGAAGGCGTGCAAGGAAATGAAAAGTCATAGCCCTAGACAATGCAAGTCTTTGTCCAGGGCATTGTCATTTATGCCTCTGATGGCGCCTCGCGGGATAATGTTGGCGCCTCGCAGAGTAATGTTGGCGCCTCTGACAGTGCCCTGCGACAATGATGCTTATCCGAGCCAATTTTATTTCCTCATTATGTTTGGATATGTAGACCTCAACCCCACCATATAAACACCTCTTAAAGTTAGTGTTTAGAGCGAGAGACGTTATTGGAGAGGCAAAAGACTACAGAACACTTTTGACCACGAATCACAAGAGTTTTTCTCCCGTTCTTCTTGATTTTGTAGTTTAATGCTTTTGAATATTACATTGATTGTTTATACAATTATGAGTAGCTAAACTTTCCCATATAGGGTTTGATGGAACCTATTGAAGGAAGATTATTCACTTCGTTTAATATAAATTTGCCGTTGATATTTCTCTACTTGTTCAACTATATTTTCATTGTCGTTGATTGAAGAGATCTCAATTAACTGTGCCTATTTAGTATGTATTGCTCAAGAGAGAGTATACATTTAGGTAGTTATTGAACAACATCACTCCTAACGTATTAGAGATATCAATACAGGGGGTTTAAAGACGAGATTAGAAATAACAAACCCTTGGTGCGATCGTAGTGAGTGGTGAATTAGTGCCAGCTAGGTTACTTCGAGAGAATACATCTACTAAATTATGGTAATTACTCGAGAGAGAACTATGACACCTAAAGTACTCACGATCGGTGGAGAATACATAGGAGAATTTATAGGAAACGTAGCGGAGGAGATTCCGACAATTGGGGAAATCAAAACCCTAGACTTTTCCAATATTGTCTACAACATTTGCTTTGTTAATTATAAATTACCCCATTTTAATTAATGTGTTCGTAGTTAGTAAACACTCAAATCTTTATTTAATATTTCTGAGGTTGATAAGTTGAATTTTTGCGAAACTAGTGGTTGTGATTTGTAGGTTAATTCCCTATCGACTCCAGACTCGTAAATCGGATTATATTTGCAATGACCGCTAGACCTATTAGGAGGCATAATTGGGAGTGATTAAATTTTGGCGCTGTTGCCGGAAAATTTAACGGTGTTATTAGTTATAACGAGGAGAATTGCTAGGATTCTTAGTTTAGTCAACTCTCTTGATTTTTACTTCATTACATTGAAATTCTAACATTATAGACTTATGTAATATAGGTGCATGCCTAGAAACTCCTGAAGAACTGGTGAATTGCTTGAAGCATTACCGAATCCTGAAAAAGCATTCAAGGCATTAAATCGTGCAAACAAGAGGGACAAACGACAATAGCACCCAAGAGAACAAATTGAATTAGACATGGGTGACGTTTTGGACAATCAAAACAATCGAAACAATGGGAATGACCCGAACAATCAGGGTGTGGCACCTCTTGTGCCAGAATCAGCCTTGTATAATTAGGCACAACCCACTGCTGAAAATCTGGCAACCATAATTACAGTCCCTCAAATACAAGCAGAGTCATTTCAAATCAAAAACAACATGCAATATCTGTTGCAGAACAAGTTCTACCCACCAAATAAGATTTCCAAGCAAGTTGAGGAGATATTGAGCTTTAGGCAAAAACCAGCTGAAACATTCCAAGAAACGTGGGAGAGGTTCAAATAGGACGTTAGTTAAGTGTCCACACTATGGCATTCCTGATCAGTTTTTGGGTCAAAGGTCCTACATAGGATTGGCAGACAGCTTGAAGGCAAATGTTAATTCTTCAGCATGTGGAACATTTTTGAGCAAATCATTCAGAGAATGTAAGGCCCTACTAGATAAAATGGCTTAAAACTCAAGATGGATGACAAGAGACACTACAATCACCCCTGTAGTTCACTCAGTAGCTTTGGACCAAAAGAACTCCATAGACGAGAATATGGCCACTCTGATGACGCACATGAGTATCCTTACCATGAATATTGATGAATCAGGCTAGAAGCAGGTACACATAATTGACACGACTAATGGAGGCTTACGCACACCATGCATTAACCAACCATATATGTGCCCGTGGAGTGGTGAAAGTGACAATCAAAACTATCAAGAGAAAATGAACTACAACAATACTAGAGCTATGAAACCACAGGGTCAAGTCGTGCCTTACCAAAGTTAACATGGATACAATCAGCTAAATCAACAGCTAGCTTATCAACAGCCTCAATAATAACAGCTAGTGAGACAAGATGATGGGTTGTCTTAAATGAAAGGAATGTTGCAACAACTAATTAGGCCCAATGGAAAAATGCAAGAGAATGTTGAAGCACATGACTCAGCGATAAAAGTCATTGAGATTCAATTTGGGCATATATCTATGACTTTGAATAACCTTCCCCAAGGGACATTACCTGCGGACACACATGTCAATCCAAATGAGCAGGGCCCGAAGCAGCTAATGGCAGTGAGTCTTAGGAATGAAAGGGATTTGGAAAGAGAGCGAGAAGTTGCTCAATTGAATAGAGAAACAATGCCACTTACTCCAGTTCCATTCGAGATTGATGAGTCGGTGGAGCTCACAGAGGTTGTAATTGAACAAGCACAAGTTTACAAAGGTAAGGAGTAAAAAATTGAACAATTCCCAGAACAGGTACTAGAAAAGACTTCTAATCAGGAAAAGACACAGAGCTATGAGCAAATGCAACCTCCAGCACCATTCCCTCAAAGGTTGGTAAAGAAAAAGAAAGATGATAAATACAAAAAATTCATGGAAATACTAAGGTAGATTCAATTGAATATTCATCTCATGGATACTTTGCGGGAAATGGCAGGCTACGCTAAAATAATGAAGGATTTGATGTCTTGGAAGTTTGACTTCCAGAACCTGTCTACTGTAACTTTGACTCAAATATGTAGTGTGGTAGTGACAAGGCCTATGGATCAAAAGTTGTCCGATCCCGGTAGTTTCGCAATCCCATGCACAATTGGAAATTATGTTTTTGCCAAATCATTGTGTGACTTGGGGGCTTGTATTAACTTGATGCCCTTGGCAATCTACAAAAAGTTTGGCATTGGTAGAGCTACACCAACCTCAATGTTGCTGCAACTGGCTGATCGCACAGTGAAAAGGCCAACACGAATTTAGGATGATGTGCATGTTCAAGTAAGAAAGCTTGTATTTCCTACTGATTTTGTTATTCTTGACTGACAAGTTGACGAAGAAATACCCATAATTTTGGGAATGCTATTCTCTGCTACTGGGAGAGCATTGATTGACTGAGAGACTAGAGAGTGAAAAATGAAATTGAACAATGAAGAAATAATATTCAATGTTCAACACTCTATGAGGAGACCCCAGAGAGTTTGCAAATTATTCGCTAGTTGAGGCAATTGATGTGATACTACAAGAGGAGGATGAGACTCTTCATGTTAGACACCCATTATAAGCTTGCTTGATGAATTTAAAAGAAGTTGATGGTGAAGAGTTGGCAGAGTGGGTCATGGCTCTTGAAAGTCAAGGTTTCTGGAAAAGGGAACCTCAGTTTGAGCCCTTACATTTAGAAAAAATAAAAACACCACATGCGAAGCCAGCGATAGAGGAGCCACCACAGTTTGACCTGAAACCGCTTCCAGCCCACCTAAGGTATGCTTTCTTAGGACCTAAGTCTACTTTATCAGTGATTATCTCATCTAGTTTGTTAGTTATGCAGGTAGAATAACTCTTACAAGTGTTATAGGAATGTAAGGCTGCTATTGGTTGGACCATGGCAGATATTAAGGGTATCATCCCATCTTTTTTCATGTATAAGATTCTCTTGAAAGAGGGGCACAAGCCTTCCAGGGAATATTAAAGAAGGCTGAACTCGAACATGAAGGAAGTGGTGAAGAAGGAAGTGATTAAGTGGGTGGATGTGGGCATCGTCATTCCTATCTGGAAGAGCATCTAGGTAAGCCCGATCCAATATGTTCCAAAAAAGGGTGGCATGCCTGTTGTACAGAATGGGAATAATGAGCTGATCTCCACTCCTACAGTCACGGGTTGGCAAATTTGCATGGATTATAGAAAACATAACAATGCCACTCAGAAAGACCACTTTCCCCTATCGTTCATTGACCAAATGTTGGATAGATTGGCTGGGAGATCACACTTCTGCATTTTGGATGGATATTCGGGGTACAATCAGATCACAATAGCCCCTGAAGATCGGGAGAAAATATCATTCACTTGTCTGTATGGCATCTTTGCCTTCCAGAGAATGTTGTTTGGCCTATGCAATGCACCAGCCACTTTCTAGAGGTATATGCTTGCCATTTTCACTGATATGGTTGAAGATATTATTCAAGTCTTTATGGATGATTTCTCAGTGGTGGGAAATTCATTCGATGACTGTTTTACAATTTGAGAAGAGTGCTAAAAATGTGTATGGAGATGAATCTGTTACTGAATTGGGAGAAGTGTCATTTTATGGTACAAAAAGGTATAGTTCTGGGGCATCGTGTGTCAAGTAAGGGTATTGAGGTCTACTATGTTAAGGTTGACATGATAGAGACATTTCCACCACCCGCTTCAGTCAAGGCAGTAAGAAGTTTCCTTGGGCACGCCGGTATTTACAAGCGATTTATAAAGGGTTTCTCTAAAATTGTTAGTCCCTTATGTAAACTGCTAGAAAAGGATCACCCCTTTGTGTTTTCTGATAAATACAGGTTAACATTTGAGGAGCTAAAGAAGAGACTGGTGACTGCACCAATCATCGTTGCATCATATTGGGAGAAACCTTTTGAGCTCATGTGTGATGCGAGTGACTATGCTATAGGATCAGTATTGGGGCATCGAAAGGATAAAATTATGCATCCAATCTACTATTCAAGTAGAACGCTAAGCGGTGAACAACTCAATAATACCGTGACTGAGAAAGAGATGTTGGTTATGGTGTTTGCATTCGATAAATTCAGGTCTTATTTGATAGGTTCAAAAGTGATTGGTTATACTGACCATGCAGCCCTTCCGTTGGATTCTCTTGCTACAAGAGTTCGATTTGGAGATCCGCGATAGGAAAGGAATGGAGAACCAAGTGGATGACCACCTCTCTAGGTTGGAGGAAACTGAAAAGAAAGTAGAGGTTTAAGATATAACGGAGACCCCAGATGAATAATTACTGGGAGTGGCAATGGAGGAGACGCCTTGGTATGCTGATATTTCTAGCTATTTGGAAAGCGGTATTGTACCTTATGAACCCTCTTTGATTCAAAAGAAAAAGTTCTTTCGTGATTGTCGGTCTTATTATTAGGATGAACCTTTACTTTTTAAAATCTGTGTGGATAACATGATACAAAGGTGTATCCCGAGAAAGATCAATCTTCTATTTTGTTGGCTGTCACTCTTCACCATATGGTGGGAACTTTGGAGGAATTAGAACACCTGTGAAACTTTTGGAGTCGGGTTTATATTGGGTGGCTCTATTCAAGGATGCCCATGCCTAGGTGAAAGGTTGTGATGAATACCAAAGAACTGGCAATATATCTTGCCTTCATGAGGTACCGATGACCATAATTCAAGAGGTGGAAATTTTTGACGTGTGGGGGATTGATTTCATAGGACCATTTGTCAGCTCGTATAGTATCAAGTACATATTGGTAGCAGTTGACTATGTCTCCAATGTGTGGAATCCGTGGCTCTTCCAATAAATGATACAAAAGGAGTAATAGGATTTCTAAGGAAAAATATTTTCACACGGTTTGGCACTCCGATAGCTATAATCAGTGATGGTGGAACTCATTTCTTTAAGAGAGCTTTTGCAAGGTTGCTAGAAAAGTATAGAGATCACCATAAGGTAGCCACACCCTACCACCCGTAAACGAGTAGGCAAGTGGAGGTGTATAACATTGAAATTAAAAGTGTCCTGACCAAGACAGTGAATGCGAATCGGACTGATTGGGAAAGGAAGTTGGATGATGCATTATGGGATTACCGTACAGCATTTAAAACTACAATCGGTATGTCTCCGTAAAATTTTGTGTTTGGAAAAGCATGCCATTTTCCAATGGAGCTTGAGCATAAATCCTTATGGGCATTGCGGTAGTTGAATTTGAATATAGAAATTGCGGGCACAAGTAGAGTTACATGAACTCGAGGAGTTCTGGTTCCAGGCATTCGGGAGTACAATATTGTACAAGGAAAGGATGAAGATGATGCACTATAAGCACATTCTAGATAGGAACTTCAAACCCGGAGATATAGTATTGTTATACAACTCGAGATTGAGATTATTTTTGGCTAAGCTGAAATCTAGGTGGTCGGGACCATTTAGAGTTGTGCAAGTGCTCCCCAGTGGAGCGGTAGAAATTGTGTCTGAAGATGGGACTATCAAGTTTAAAGTGAATGGGCAAAGGTTGAAACACTACCTTGGAATGATTGAAGAAAAAAGAGAGAAAGATGTGAGTACTTGGAAGAGCCCCAATATGTGAGCGAAGTGTAATCCTGAAAGCCTATGTCGTGCTGTGACATTAAATCAGGCACTTCCTGTGTTGTATTCGTCATGCCATGATGTTAGCTAAGGCACTTATTAGGAGGCAACCCACTTCGTATCGTAGATTTAGATTAGTTTTAGTTTTTATTTGATATGGAGGCGGACTAACAAGTTAGCTTTGTGTGAATTTCATTTATTTTTCTAGGTATTGGAGCTGCTTGGAAGAAAGATGTTCTCGGGGGTCCTAAACAAGCTAAAAGGATGCAAAATGAACAAGAAAATACCAAGCCATCGTGGGGCAAAGTCCAATGCACAATCTTAGGGTGCCTCACATTGCTTAGCACAAAGGTACAATGCCCCACACCCCACCCTGCGTTAAATCTTCACTGCCTCACACGCTGATTCGCAGAGTCTAAGGCGCGACTGATAGCACGCATGTAAGCGTGATTCACTGCTCAAACACAGCCCCTCACACGGCATCGATGCATCCAACCCCTGAGCCTCACTCTGCCTCGCAATGCCCATGTCATAAAGGCCCAGGTAAGTTCCTCTTTTTCTTTTGTTCTTTTTTCCCTCTCACCTAAAACCCTTCACCTCTCTTTAAAAATTACCCAGTCCTTCTCGTACCCAAACCCCTCTGCCTAATTTCTCAAACAAACTCCCTAATTCCCAATCCCTAAAATCTCCCAACCCCACTGTCATGTTCCCAAGCAGAAACAAAAAATCACAATTCCTCAAGTAGCCACCTCACCCCACTGCCTCGTTCTCTCTCTCAATTCCCAAGTATGATTTTGTCTATCTCTCCTCTATTCTCTCTTTTTCTATGTAAATTCTAGTTGTCGGGTAATATATTTTACAAGGTACAACAATGGTGCAATTAGGCTACAAATTTCCCAACTCCAAATAACCCATAGGATATCTTGTGATTGTTTTAATGAGTGATTCACACTCGATTCCCAAGCTGATTTGGGAGGGTGGAGCAATCCTTCACCCAGAAAGAAACTCACACACAACTAATGCATATAAGGTGTTCGATAAATTGCCTCACTAGCGAATTTAGTCCCAATTGGAGCCCGAATCTCCGGGATTGTTTGTTTTGTGTTAGGTGAGCATGTTTGATAAGAAAACTAAGTGTGTGGTGACTCTACGGATTCGTGTCTTCGGGCTATCTGGCGTGCCAAAATTTAGATGTTAACGCACTTACTTGATGAAGGCAAAGTCTGAGTAGCCTATGGTTTAAGTATTTAGCATATCTTAGAGCTTTAAGTGTGGGGTCACTCCAACCTTATTTTTGTGATAGTTCTTATTTCCTTAAATTGACAATTTGTATGGTCGACAAGTACATTCAATATAGTTCATCCAACGGCTAGTTCCAAGGCACCGACTAAGGCCAAAGCACCACCAAAGGCAAAGGCCACCCCGTCAGTCCTATCACCAAAGAAAAGGAACAAAGTTGAGGCTACGTATGGTAGCCACAGTGGTAAGAAAAACAAGTGACTTTTGCTTCTACCGAGGTGCAACCTCAAGAGAATGTGACTCGAGTATGGCACCAGGAGTGTGCCCCCATCTGGGAGGGCATGGTATAGGAAGTATCATCCAAACTCATATCTCCCTGATTTTGCAGTTGATGAGCACAAGTTGAAGTCTCGTTACCCTCATATTGGAAAGAATACATGAA